TTCGTGAGGAAACACCCCATGGAAAAGAAACCCTTCCCTGTTTCTGGTGGATCTGTGCCCTCCCGTGACAGCCTGCACTGCCTGGCCTGATCAGTAAGAGCTTTGACACACCAACAGCCTAATTTTTATCCAGATCTTTGCAGGCATCAGAGCAAAAGGGGGGTCTGAAGGAGGGTAATGGGATGGGGGTGGTGCTGATATTCCCACATTAGAGACAATCCAGGGAAGACCTCAAAGGCCAGGCTGGACAGGGCTTGGAGCAGCCTGGGCCAGTGGAAGGTGCCTCCCAAGCCAACCCATTCCATGGATCTGTGACATCAACACGGCAGCATCCCAGAATTCCCGTCCCCCGTGCCCGCAGAATTTTAATGCCGACATCAAAGGCTCCTTCCCTCCGTGCAAACACGACAAGTCACCCGGGATCTCAGCACCACCCAGAGCGCAGGATGGAGCTCTGCTGCTGCCTAAAATTAATCCGTGCTCGAAATGAGTCAAAACAGGCTCGGGGGAGGTATTTTTAGCCGGAGCTTTTCTCGCAGACAGCACACTCAGCTGCGGGATCCGGCCCACGCCCACAGCCCAGAGCTCCCCCACCCCGGGGCCACAGGCACCAAACGCTGTCCAGCGGCTGCCCCCTCTCCCGGCACCACTTTCCGTGGAAGGGACACGGTTGTGCTGCCTCTGGATCCCTCTTTCCCTCAACCCCTCCAGGGCAGGTCGGACGGGGCTTGGAGCAACCTGCTCCGGGGAAGGTGTCCCTGCCCACGGCAGGGGTGGGACTGGATGGGCTTCAAGGTCCTTCCAGCCCAAACCATTCCACGACCCCGCCGCCCTGGGCACCCACGGCCCGTGGGCCCTCTGCTTTCTCCCTTCCCCACCGACCCCATAAACATCCCCCCCGAGCCCCTCGCACCCTCGGCATCCCCTACGCCCCTTCGGCCTCCCGATCGCACCCAACACCCCCCACCCAGACCTGCACTCCCCCAGCCCCACTTCAACCCTCCCGGCGCCCCGGGGGCCGCTCCCCGCTCTCCCCTCTGCACCCCCGCCTCAACCCACCCCTCCGCCGCCCCCCGGCCCTCCCGGTGCGGAGCCCTCGGGGCTGTTCTGGAGGGTCCCTCGCCCCTCCCCGCCCTCAGGCCGCGCTCCCTTCGCCCACCTCTGTCTGGCTCCGCGCTCGCTCGGCAGCGGCTGCCGGCAGCTCATGGCGGCGCGGGGGCCGCGAGGGGGGCGAGCGGGGTCCCTGGGGGTCCCGGGGGTCTCTCAGGGCTGGGGGGGCAGCGCGGCCCGGCCCGGCCCCGCCGCCGCTTCCGCCGCCTCGCCCCCGTGACGTCACAGCGCGGGGACGGGGGCGGGGACGCGCCTTTGTGACGTCACGGCCGCGCGCCGGCCCCGGGGCACGTGGCGGGAGGACGGTGATGGCGAAGTCGGGACCGGGATCGGGATCGGGAACGGGATCGGGAACGGGATCGGGATCGGGAACGGGAACGGGATCGGGATCGGGAACGGAGCGGTGCCCGCACTGCCACAGGGAATTCAAGCGGCTCCGCGCACACCTCCCGCACTGCAAGGCCGCCCCGCGGCAGGGACCGGGACCGGGATCGGGATCGGAAACGAGCCACAGCACGGGCCCCGGCAGCGCACCGGGATCGGCATCGGGATCGGCATCGGGATCCGCACCGGGACCGGGAAAGAGACTCCGCCCGGCCCCCCCCGCTGCTCCGGGGCCAGCACCGAGCCCCGTTCCCCGCCCGGCCCCCGCCAGCACTTCGGGACCGGCACCGGGACCGGGATCGAAGAGGAGAACGAGCCCGGCCCTCGGCAGCGCTCCGGGGTCAGCACCGAGCCCAGGTCCCCTCCCAGCCCCCGGTCCCGGCCCCGGGCCGGGTGTGTCCGCCCCCCGGAGCGGGCGGGGCGTGGAGCCCGCGGTGCAGGACGTGGCCAGAGCGCTGGATCTGCCCCCCGAGGAGGTGGAGGATGTTCCCCGGAGGATGGAGGATGGAGTGAAGGTGGTGATCGAGAAGCACCGCGCCAGGGTGGTCCGGGAGAAGCAGCCCAAGAGCAGGGCGGGAGCAGCGGCAGGGACAGATCCCGGCCGTGCTGCCCACCCACAGCGGGCAAAAACCGCTCCAAAATCCACTCAGAGCCCGGGGGCTGTGAGGGGCATGCCCGGCAGCAAAAAGGGAGGAAAAAGCAGCTTAAAGGCAATAAAAGTACTTGAAGAACCCCCCGAGGGCAGAAATAGCCGCGCTGACCTCGCTCAGCAGGAGGGAACAGAGCAATCCGTGGCAGGAGGGGAGCAGGTGCACCGGGAAGGTGGTGTGGGATATAAAGGCCCCGTGTCTGCTTTGCATCCCAAGAACCTCCATCTGTCAGTGACACAGGGTTTGGGAGGTCACAGCAAGGGGACATCCAAGAATGAGCTCAGCAGCCTGGAGAGGCTCAGGGACAGCAGGGAGCAGATGGTTGGAGTGTCCGAGCCCGTCCTGGGCACAGGGAGAGACCCAGGGCTGGCCCTGCACCAGTCCTGGCTCCACTCCCCCGAATTCCAGCCCACCTGTTCATCCCAGGCCTCTGGCAGGAGCACCTGGGCAGGAGCCACGGGCTTGGAGTGGTTTCCAGACCTGTATCCTGAGTGTGAGGGGCTGAGGATCTTTCCAGGGAAGCATCTCCGAGAAGATGTGGGGATCACAGTGAAGACACCAAGGGGCAGTTCCTCAGAGGGACCTCGAGGTAACCAAAGTCTCTGTGCTGGGATTTGTCAGGCTGGAATGGGAGGTGTGAATGGGAGAGGAGGGGGTAGGGAATGCTGAACTGCTGGGCTTGTCCAGGAAGGGATCCAGGAGAAGCCCATGAGGTCATCTGTGCCTCCTCCAGCCCGCAAAACCGACGGTTCATGGTTTTGTGGAGGTTGGAGTCGGGTTCTTGCACGTTCAGGCTGGTGGAGCCCAAACTTTGTGGGACAGACAGTTCCCTCTCCGCTCCCAAGCCCAAATGCCGTGCCAGGTCCCAGCTCCCCACACAGCACAGGGAGCACCAACAGCACACCTTGTCCTGCCCGTGCCCACCGTGACTGTCACCCCCCAGGTCCCCTCTCGGAGAGGCCCCTGCTGGAGGTGAGGCTGGGGGAGCTGCACACCTGGATCAGCACCTGCCACTTCTCTGCCCAGGGGCTGCTGGGAGCAGCACAGAAAGGTGAGAATTCCAGCCTTCTGGGGCAGGGCCATCCCACTGCCCTGGCTGAGGGGCTGCAGCCTGGTCCGAGTGGCCACCCTGGTCTTTGGAAAGCAGCGAGTCATGGAATGGTTTGGGTTGGAAGGGTCCTTAAAGCTCATCCAGTTCCACCCCCTGCAGTGGGCAGGGACACCTTCCAGTACCCCAGGTTGCTCCAAGCCCCGTCCAGGGATGGGGCAGCCACAGCTTCTCTGGGCACCCTGTGCCAGGCCCTCCCCACCCATCCCAATATCCCGTCTAACCCTGCCCTCTGTGGGGATAAATGAACGGACCCAACATTTTGGCTTTGGAAAATTGCATGGAAAGCAGGGAGTTCCAAGGAGCAGCACATGATTTGTCCCTTTCCTTTGTCTCCCAACAGCCTGGAACAGTTATTATGCCAAATACATCAACGTGAGGAGAGGGGGACCCGCTGGGATCTCCATGCTCCTGGCTGGGTACTGCCTGCTCAGCTACAGCTGGAACTATCAGCACTTCAGTAAGATTTCCTGCCTGGGGTCTCTCTTGTTTCAGGAATTCTCCCTATTGCAGCAGTTGGAAAGTCTGTTTACCATTCCTGTTGATTAAAGCTCAGGAATAATTCAAATACTCCACATTTAAGACCAATAGCAGGGCTGAGAGAGCAGGATTCTGAGGGTAGGCAGAGGAATTTAGCCACTAAAAGTGGTGATAACCAGTTGCTGACTCACAGCTTCTCCCTTGGGGAGCACCAGGAATGCCAGGAGCACTTAGAAACCCTGCACAGAGCAGAGGGAGGAGATGTTCCAACACAGGCCCCCCATTCCCTGGATTTCCTCACATGACAAGGGCTTTGCTGGTGGTGGGGTGGTTGCCCCTTGCTCATGCACAGAGAAGCTACAGTGAGAAGCTCATCAGGAGCTGGGCAGAGCCCATCCCTGGAGCCCCCAAACCTCCCTTTGTGCTGACTCTGGAACGTTTCTCTCTCTGTTTTTGCAGAGCGTCACCGCTGGCGTAAATACCACTGAAGGAGCTGCAGCAGCACCCACGGGGCGGTCACAGCTCCTGGGGAGGCAGCAGAAGTGCTCACAGCCGCTGTCCCAGCAGGGATTCCCAGCAGCAGAGGCCTGTTTGCTGTCAGGACAGGGGCTGGAAGGAGGGGGGTGCTTGGCAGGGGCCCTCGTGCAGCAGAGGGGTGGCAGTGACAGCCCCTGGTCACCCACCGTGGGTCAGGGAGCTTTCAGTAGAGAGACAAGGAAGCATTAGAGCTATCCCTGAGAGATCTGTGTGTGCAGTAGAGCTCTGGGAGCCTGCAGAATCCCAAATCCCTCGCTTTGGCACAGCTGACACAGGACAGGCTCCTGTCCTGAGCTGTTATTAGAGATTAATTGACATTGTGCTGTAGCTGAGGGTTAGCAAGGTTTGTGGCAGGGTGGGCTTCAATCCCAATAGCAATTCCCTTTAAGTTCACCTAGCAAAGCCCAGTTTATACTCACCCCTTGTACTGGTGGGACTGGTCAGAACCTTTGTGGAGGCTCAGACCACAGTGCCCTGTTTCTGGAGGATGAAAATCCACTGCAGGAGCTGTTGTGCCCAAAGGGCAAACCCATGTCTGCATCAGACAGGCGAGGAGTCAGGAGTGCTAGTTGGAGCCTGCCATTCCCAAACATGTCTGGGAAAGGGTTGGTCATGTTACAGGCATGAAAAATAAAGCCAAGAATTAAAAATCCGAGCTCTTTATTCAGCGAGGTGCAGTCGTGCCGTGTCAGGGGTGGTTCACAAGAAATTCTCTCACCAGCAATAAAAACCTTTGTGGATTTTCCTTTCCTGCTTGGTCTGTGATCTCAAACACGGTGCTTTGTGCCCCCTTCCCAGGGGGTGCTGCTGCTGGCCTGGCCTGGCCAGAGCCAGCTGTGGGAAGTCCAATTTTCATTGCATGAAGTGATTTCTCTGCTGCTTGTGCAAATTGTGAGCTGGTGCTGAGCAAACCCAACTGGCTTTTCTAGTCCAGCCGCTGCCCCAGTGCTGTGTCTCCATCTCCATCGTGTTTTAGGATGTCCTCCTTCCCCATCCATGTGGGAGCACTGGAGTCACTTCCCCAGCAGCATTTCCAGCTGAGTCCTCCCACTCTCACCAGTGTAGGGACCGACCTGTCTGCTCTGGGGGCACAGGGAGAGGCAGGCACTGGATTTGTGCTGCATCGACCCTCTGCCACGTTCCCACGTGCTCATTTTCACATCATTTCCCAGGGGGTGGGTTCATGGAGCCGTGCCACGTTCCAGCACAGCTCCCATCTGGAAACAGCACCCCAAGACCTCCAGCTGCACCAACCCTCTGACCCAGAGGGATTCTCCGCTCTTCAGGGCTCTCCCACTGGTTTATCACCACCCAAGTCCCTCCCCTTGCAGTTAGGTTATTTCAGTCCCAGTAGATCCCTCCTTCCCAGCTGGTTCCCACCCCAGCTCTTCAGGGACCAGCTCTAGAGCCCAAAAAAGCCCAGGGAGAAGGCATATTTCCAGACAAAGAGGCTGTTTTGGGAGTAGTGTGGGAGCCTGTCCCCACACCACGTGCTGTCCCTCACCATCCCCCTCCAAGGGGAGACCACCGCTCCCAGCCCTCCCATTCCCACAGACACTCACCTTGGAGCGGGTGCCTCATTCCAGCAGGCTCTGTGGGCCCGGGGGCAGCCACTGATGTCCCACAGATGCGCTGCCCGGTGCTGGGTGACTCGTGGAGGTGGCTCTGTGGGTGGCATGTCCTGGCCTCCCCTCTCCTCCCTGTCAGCCAGATCCTGCTGTAGCAGGCGCTGTGGACAGCCAGCTTCCTGGGGGAAACGGAGGGGCAGGTGGCAGCTGCTGTCCCACGGGAGCTGTGGGGCAGCTGGAGCATCACCCCAGTTCACACAGGCACAGAGGAAAGGGCTTCACCTTGGACGGCTCCGTGCTGCTCGTCATCAGCCCGGCCTTGAGGCTGGGAATGGACACAGAGGACAGGCAGTTACTCCCTGTGGCACCCCCAGATCCTCCTGTGGCTCCCACAGCCTCTCAGGGATGTCTTAGGGCTAGCACAGGCACCCCCGTGGGGACCAGGACTGCTCCCTGCCCACCCACTGCAAACCCTGGCTGGACGTGGGGAGAGACCAGAACGGTTCAGGTCCCAAAGCAGCCTCACCCCTGACCCTGCCAGGACCACAGGGCCACCTCTGCCCCCTCAGAGAGGGGACTGTCCCCTCCCAGCCGCGTTCCAGGGATCCCAGCCTGCCCAGTACGTACTGCACGAACTTGCACTTGGGTCCCTCCGGGCAGAACCCCACCAGGTAGTTGGCACACAGCACCCTCCGGGTGTGCTTGTACTTGCACCGGGGACCTGCCACGCAGAGCACAGGTTTGCAGGGACACGTCACTCCGGCATTTTGGGAGCTCGGCTTTCCCAGCGGCCCCGGTGAACTCTTTGCTACCCCAAGCCCAAACCCCCACTGGGTTCCTGCCCCACTCCCGGCCACGCTGTGGGTCACCCTGCGGTGGCTCGGCCACCTCAGAGGGGACAGGAGGTTGTGCCAGCAGCGGGGTCCTGCCCCACATCACTGGTGGGCACACGGGCAGCCCCTTCCCGCCCTCTGCCCTGTCCCAGCAGCTCACCGTGCCTGCAGAACCCGCGGTCGTACCAGGGACAGCCCACGGTGCTGGGGGTGGCATCAACGTGCAGGAAGGGACAGTCCTTGTCGCTGCACTCTCCTGCGGGGAGGACGGGTGGGACAAACAAAACAGAGAGGGAATCGCTCAGGGATGGGCTGGATGGGAGGAACTGGGGTGCCCTGAGAGCACCTGGCTTTGGACTGCGGGAGCACCCACCAGGGTGACAGTGGCACTTCTCCCCGCAGTCAGGAGGTGGCATCAGGCACTTGCTCGAGGCCAGCCCGGAGGGACAGGAGTGCTGGGAGGGGACAGGCACCTACCAAACTTGGAGTAGAAATAGCACTCGGGCATCCTGCTGGCGTCGTGCTCGTGCAGGAAGTCGCAGCCGTCGCCTCTCTTGCAGAGCCCTCGCAGCCAGTGCCTGCACACCACGGTCTTGGCCCTGCCTCTGCGCCTGGAGGGGCCCTGCACTGCTGGCCATGGCACCCCTGTCACAGCCAGCCTGTCCCCCAGAGCCCCCCCGGACCTCCCTGCACCCCCAGCTCGGGACACACCAGCAGGAGCTTTCCTGGGTGCGGAGGAGGTTTGGAGCACCCACTGGGCACAGGGGGCTCAGTTCACCTGGCACTGCCAAGGTCTGGGTGCCCTGGAGGTGTCTGAGCCCTCCCCCAGCACAGGGAGCCACAGGGCCCCGTCCCCAACTTACTGTCCACCCCTGGGAAGCGCGGGGGCCGAGCTCCTCTCTGCTGCTCCACATCAGCCTCCAGGTCAAACCTGATCTTCTCCACACCAGCCACCAACTCCTGCATCACCTCTGCTCCAGCAAGAGCCCCCTCCAGCCTGGCACAGACAGGGAAGCAATCAGGGAAAGAGGCAGAGAAGCACAGCTCTCAGGGCCCAGCAGTGGGGCTGCCCAAAGAAAACACAGCTCTGCCAAGGGAGCACCACACTCTGAGGGTCCCTGCAACCACCCCGGGCCCCAGCAGCACTCAGAAACCCTCCTCTTCCTCCTCCTCCTCCCCAGCCAGAGCAAAGCTAGCCCAGGCAACCGCCCGGAGCGCTCCATTTAGAGCAGGAAGCTGCCCACATCTGATCCCAATTTGCAGCCCTGATTGCCTGGTGCCGCAGCTGGGGAGCTCAGCCCCCGGCCCCATCCATCCCCCTCACTGCCTCCCTTCTCCCACATCTGCTTTTGCTCCAGAAAAACCAGCTGGGGCTGGCCAGGAGCAGGGTTAACCCCCCACTCCGAGGCCTTAAACGTGGAGCCAAACATGGCTTGTGCATTCCCATAGCATGGGATGGATCCTGTGTGGGTTCTGTTGTGCTCTGGGTGCTTTGAGCTCTGGCTGCACTGCAGCACCAGCCCCACTCTCCAGCACCTGGCAGGACAGACCCTGGGCTCCTGGAGGGGACAGCCAGGTCACCGTGTATCCCGATGAATCATGGAATGGTGTGGGTTGGGAGGGACCTCAAAGCTGATCTCATTCCACCCCCTGCCATGGGCAGGGACACCTTCCACTAGCTCAGGCTGCTCAGAAGCCTGTCCAGTCCCAGGGGTTGGGCTGGGGGCTTTCCCGTGTGCCAGGCTGCAGTGGCACATTCCCGGCACGGCCACGGCGCTTCCCGGAGCCCACCCAGCCAGCCCCTGGATTCAACCTCAGCTCCGTCCTCCTCCTCATCACGCGGCTCCCGTGGCCCCGTGCGCCGCCTGGGGCGCCGTGGGCTGACACATGGGATGGAGACCTGCTCCCATTCTGTCACCAGGGATAAAGGCACTGGACCAGCGCTGCCGGAGCGCTGCCCGTGGGGGCCGCGGCCCCGCGCAGGGCGCTGGGCACCCACCCGGCACCTGTGTGGCCACATCCTGGGGGTGTGACGGGATATCCCACCCCGTGCTGTGCCCCTGGGTGGTTTGGGGAGCCTGGGGGTGCAGCCTATGCTCCCCTGCAGCAGGCACTGGCCGGGCACCGGCCTGGCAGCAGTGCCTCTGGGGAACAGCATTACACCTCACCAGCCCAGGTCCCGTTGGGCTGACCCTGTCCCTGCTCCCTCGTGGCATTCCGGGGCCTCTCCGTGTCCCGTGGAGCGGGGCCGTGTCCCGGGTGTGCTCAGCAGCCCGGCACACACTTTCTGCCCCGTCGGCTCGCGGCACCGCGGCGCTGCCGAGCCGGAGCCTGGAGCCGACAGGCGTCACAAAGATCAGGGCCACCAAGTGACGGTCGCAGGCGGCCCGTGAAGGGTCACCCTGGGGCCGCCCCTCCCCACAGCCCTGGGGAGCGAGGGGGTCCTGGCAGGGGGTGCAAAGCCCAGGGAGCCACCCTGCCCTGCCGGCTGGTGTCAGAGCATCCCTCAGGGACAGGAGCAGCCAGGTGTCCCCCAGCAGCCTGGTGACCCCCCAGGGGACAGCGACCGGGACCACCGGCTCGGGGGATGGACGTGGGACCCTGGCACAGGACAGGGGGCTGTGCCGTGGCGATGGGGGCAGCCTGGTGAGCTCAGAGCCACCAGCTGCAGCTGCTGTTGTTCTCCCTGTCCCAGACAATGGCCCAATGTCCCCTGCCCAGGGTGTTGTGTCCTGCCAAACGCACGCACAGGACCCCATTGTGTCCCCACTGTGGCACAGCACTTGCCCGCTCCCACCAGCTCCACCAGGGCACATCCTTTTGGGAGGACTGGGGCATCCAGCTCCTCCTAGGGCTGGGAGATGTTGGGGGGGGCCAAATCCTTCCCTCTCCATCACTGGTGAGGAGGTCCTGACTGGTACTCCCAGCAGAGCCAAGCTCTCCACCCACTTGTGAAGGGCTTTGGGGCTGGAATGGGAAGGCAGTCCTGGCCCTGGCAGAGCCCCATTACATCAGTGGCTGAGCTGTGGGAAGCTGGCTGTGGGATGGGAGTGACCTGCCCTGCTCTCCATGCCAGGATCATCCAGGGCTATGGACACCCCGCAGGGACGGGAGCCCCCAGGGCACCCCCAGCCCTGGCCCCCAGCCCATGGGAGCAGGGACAGCCAGTCCTGCCCCACCACCACTTCCCCTCCTCCCTGGCTGGCAGGGAGGGAGCAGGGCTGGGGGCAGAGCAGTGTTGGCAGAGCTGTCCCTTGGCAGGAGCCGCCTGGCCGGAGGGGCTCAGCCTGGAGCCAGATCCGGCCAGCGGGAGCTCCCCCACTTCCTCCCGCCGTGGGCCCAGAAAGCACGGCCACTGCAGGTGCCCAAACCCCGGCCAGGGCAGGATCCCAGCCAGGGATGGGCTCCAAGGTGGAGGCAGCAGGACGGGGGCCGGGGACGGCAGCAGCACAGGGAGCTGGTCCTGCTTGGGGAGCAGATCCCCACAGATCCCAGCCCTCAGGAACTCAGGCCATTGCAGTCACTACCATTTCCTTTTATTCTTTGCATCTGTACATACGTGGTATAAAACCTCCTGGTCCTGCACCAGCCCAGTGTTGGCATTGCCTGGCCCCACCGGCCCCATGGCACTGGGACATCGGGGGTCCCCGGCTCAGGGGGCTTCCAGGTGCTCCTCCCATGGGGGACAGACCCACGCTTCCATCAGCACCCCTGGGAGCAGCTGGTGCCTGGGCTGGCTGGAGGCATCCCTGTGACCCCCGGGCTGGTTGGAGGGTCCAGCATCTGGGATGGATCCATCCATCCATCCATGCATCTGAGCACCTGCCATGGCACAGGGCTGGAGGCTCTTGGTCTGCAGAAAGTCCACAAGCAACCCAGGGAGGTGAAGCTGCCCACAGTCCTGGGCCACCTCTGAGCTCCAGAGCCAAGTTCTTCCTCATGGGAAATCTCCCCTCCGTTAAAACCAAAAGCGAGAGTAAAGAAAGTTAAGTACAAATCAGAAAACAGTAAAAACCGTACGGCGGAAAAAATATATATATTACTAAAGGGGCTAGAACTCCAAAGGCTCGTCTTGTTGGATCCTAAATTGCTTTACATGGGCAGGGGAGGCAGGAGAAAAGAGCTAATATCCAAAGTCCAACAGAAAGAACCAAAATCGAGTCTGCTTCCCCCTCCCGGGAAGTGCTGAGAGATGTCGGGAACACCCCTGGCCCCGGGAGCAGATTGCTGTCCTGCCAGGGCACAGGGAGAGGGAAGGGGGAGGAGTCAAGTCTTCCCTGGTGCCACCGTTGCAGCACCAGGGTGTTCAGCCCCATGTCCAAGAACCGCAGTGAGAACCAGACCCTCGGCTCGGCCGCCCTCCTTTATACTCGTATCTCATCATCATCTTCATCAGCAAACGAGAACTCCCTGTCGGGGCGTTTTGGGGGTGCCCCCCGCTGGCTCGGTGGCCTGGGGACAGGGCTGCGCTCCTCGGGCCCCGAGGTGCAGCTGGATGCTGGACTGCTGTCCCTGGGGCCACGGGCCGGGCTCTGGCTCGGCGGGGCCACCACCGCCACCACCGGGGAGCCGGGCAGGGCGGCCTCCCCCTCCTCCTCGTGGCTCTCCTCCGCCTCGGGGTCTTCGTCCTGCTCCCACTGATCCTTATCCATGATGCTCAGGACGTCCCCGAGCATGGAGGGCCCCAGGTCGATGTGGAAGGACATGATGGACTCGGCGTGCTTCATGCCCGCCCCGCCCTTGGCCACCACGACGGGCAGCTCGGTGATGTCCCCGAAGTCGCGCTCGTCCAAGCTGGGGCTCAGCGGCCCCGCGGCCGCCCCGTTCGGGCGCTGCTGCTCTTCGGGGCTCATCTCCTCGGGCTTCTTGACGGGGCTGGAGGAGAGGCTCTTGGGCAGCTGCCCCGCGCTCCTGTCCACCTCCTTCTCGTTGAGCTGGGGCAGGGACACGGCGTTCTTGACGAAGAGCGCCGAGTCCCGCAGAGAGCCCAGCATGTCCCGCCGGTCCCCGCGCGTCACCGACTGCGAGCGCTTGCTGCTGCGGAAGCGGCGGGACAGCAGGCCGGGCTTGGAGGCTCCCGGCTCCTCGCCCGCCTCCGGCACCGGCTCCCCGGCCTTGCTGGTGAGGAAGGAGGTGTCCCCGAAGGCGTCCCCCGCGCGCCCCACGTGCATGGTGTGGCGGAAGTCCCCCAGGGGCGCGCTGATCATCTCGGCCGTCAGGTCGGCGCGCGAGCGGCGCTTGGAGTGGGCCGAGTTGGACACGAGCTGCTTGAGGATCGGCATGGTGGCGGCAGGGGGAGGCTGGGCAGAGCTGCTCCGTGTCCCGCCGGCCCGGCCGGTGCTCACAGCTGGGGCTCCACGGCTGGGATCCCACCGGCGTCACGGACGGGTCACTCCTGGCGGAGAGGAGAGAGGGACATGGTCAGGCTTTGAGGACACAGACAGGCCTTCACCCTGCCAAGCTGCAAAATGTGACCCCATGCCCACAGGCTGCTTGGTTCCCTCGGGACTAGCCTCCACACAGGGCATTGTTCCATGGGGAACACATCCTCAGACCCGTCCCAAGCTCCCCACACCCCCTGAACGGGTGGGTTCCAGACGCTATCCACGGAGCAGACATCTACAGGAGAAAGATCTGGGCAAAGGGATCCTTTGGGATGATCCCTGCCCCTGTGCCCCACATGAACAGGCACCAAAAGGGATGCAGGGCACCCCTGTCCCCTCCCCATGCAGCCCCAGCCCACCAGAGCAGGCACAGCAGCTCCAGCCTCCACGAGTCGCTCGCCGAGAAGATGCCTGGGATTTTTTTTTTTTTAATTGGAAGAAAGCAGAAAGGAGCAGACGCCAGAAGGAATTGGAAACAGACGGCAGGAAGTGTGTGAGGAGGGCGTAGAGCCCCCGGGAGGCACCGCACGCCGAGCAGGGGGACGGGGGGAGCCAGGGCAGGGGACACACAGGCACCCCATGGGTACCTCTTCATGCTCGGCAGCACGGGGAGATGGGGACACAGCCCTGCTGCACCCAAACCCCTCCATCCTCACTGCTCCTCGGCGCTGAGCCCCTGTGTGACCATCCCCACCCTCCCCGGCCACCTCATCGTCACGGCTGTGACTC